AAAAACATATGGCACTGTCGAAGAGTTTAAGGGGTTGTATACTACTAAAATCGGTTTAGGGGCTAATCTGCCACCAATCAACAAGTTAAAGGGTTCTTTTGCATGATTTGCCCAAAACAAACACAGTTGAAGGGCTTACAGTGCAGGGGTCAAGTCCACGAATCCCACGCTCAACTAACAGAACTATAAAAATAATACTAAAAGAATTTTCATCATTTCCTAAAATAATCGAATTCCCCAATTTTGATTTGAAGAACAAGAGACGACAAACCCTGGAATTTGCGATTTCGGGGAAGATGATGATGGGTGGTGGGAGTGTGTATTGGGGGAGGAAGGAGGATAGCGGTAGAATTAAGGGGATAGTGGTGATTTTCGCTTGGGTTTCCATTCAGGACCAGCACCTGAGCAGTCACATCGACTTGTATTCGTCTCTCGGCTGGAATTCTCTCGTCGCCCGTGCAGATTTCCTCAACGTGTGAGTTTCTTTCTTTCCCTCATTTCGAGTATTGTTTGTTCCTGTTTGGTTGCTGTGAAAGTATGTTGCTTTTTGGATAAGCGTATTTTAGCTGAGTTTAAATTGATGCAGTAGGTGGAGGTCAGGAGGTGTTTGGATTCCTACTAATTCAAGTATCTCAGCTACAAAACAATTGCTAATTCTTACTAAAGAGATTTGTAGTATGTGAGAATTATTGGGCAGTGTATTCCATTTTCGGTTTTTTGGATATGTAGTCCAGGATCCTTATAAATTGGTGTTGCCGGATTGATGGGTAACGTTTGCTGATTGATGCTTGAAGTTCAATTATGACTTTTGAATGATAAGTTTAGGGATTTCTTTATCTTCAAATACTTGCATTTTTGTTTGATAAGGGGGAAGGATGTGTGGTAGTTTGGATTGAAGATCTCTTTCGTGTGGGGATTTGAGCAGAACGATGATGATGATGATTTGTATTTATGCCCAAATTAAATGAAAAGAGTTTAACAATGGATTATGAGAGAGCTAAGATGTTGAATGTAAATGTTGTTATGTTCTTGGTTTTTTGGATTTACTGTGACAATCAAAGCTAAGTTAGGAGAATGAGATTGAAAACCCAAGGGGAGAATGAAACTGAAGGACGTTGTGGTTTGTGATTATGATGTCACATTTGGTTGAATCCATTGGATTTGTATCTGTGCATAGCTTTTAGGAGCATGGTTAGACAGGCAGTGGATGGTGGCTCCTTTTTGCCTGTTTTTGTTGCGATGAAATTGTCCCAAGGCGCAAAATTATAAATGACATGTCTATGAGGCCTTTCTCTTTCCTGTTCACAAGAATTCAGGTGTTGGGGTAAAGACAGTCTGACTTATAGAATTGGAGTGGGGTGAAGAGGTGCTTATATATTAGTTGCATTTTACCAAGTTACTTAAAAGGCTAAACTAGTCTAGAAATGGTATCCTTATATCATGTACTTTAAGATATTGGGATAGATGAGTAGGTTGAGTATAAGGGAAAAATTTATTAATGAATGTGTTTGTTGGAGTGGTATTTATCACTAAGTGTGGACAAGAAGAGAGAGAAATGATGAGATCCGAAGACATAAACAAGAAGTTGTTTGGTTTGGGGTTGAATCTGCTTCCATGATAACAGAAAAAAGAAGTTGATTACAGCTACCAAAAACAATTTGTGGTTTACATTGTAGAAGAAGAATGATTCTGTTTTAAAGAGAGCAGAATGATGATAGAGAATTTATGGAGCCAAATGATTTTTTTTTTTTTCCTTTTCTGATTTGATGGTGTATCAGCTTTTGCTTTAAAGTTTATTTCTTAATTACTGTTCAGTATACTTTTAGGAAGCATGCTATCTTAAATCAAGATAGTTAGAGTTAAGCTTTGCTTGCTTAATTAAAATTATTTTTGGTTTTCTTTTTCTGTATTTAAAATATCTTTCAATATAATTGATGCAGATTTTATCCTGAGAGGGCAACATCATTAGCATTTGTGCTTCTAAATAAGCTTATGGAGGTCAGTTCTATACGTCCATTAATATTTTGCAGTCTTTTAGATGTGTCTTAACTCTTAACATGTCAATTTATATTTTAGAGACATTTTTAATGGGTTTTGATCAGATTCAGTTCTATCAGTTACTTAATTTTATCAAATGATTGTATGGATTAAAATACATTTTGATTGTCTTTCCAGGAATTGAAGATTAGAACTAGTCCCGTAGTCTTTCTTTCTTTTTCTGGTGCTCCAAAAGCTTGCATGTATAAGGTTTTTCAGGTAACATCCTGAGGGCTTTCCTCTTCTTTCTAGGGGTCACATTTAATCTTTTGCTATTGCTACTGAAGTAGTCATGTTTGATTCAGATTATTCAGGGGACAGATGGATGCCAGCTTCATTTGGTATGTTTCTCTCTCAGCTATAATATGTGTATTGTGGCCATTCATAATCTTCAATTCCTGGAAAGACAAATTCAAAATGTATTTAATCTATACTAACTTAAATATTTAATTTGAAAACTTGAAAATCTTAAAGTTATTGTTCATGTTTTCATATTGTAAAGGACAAAAGTGAGTTGGTTAGAAATTGTCTTTCTGGACACATCTATGACTCTAGTCCAGTAGATTTTGGAAGTGATCTGAATGTGCAATTCGCTTTGCATCCTGCCATAAGGAAAATGCCTGGACCATCTAAGCTTGTGTCCTGGTTAGCTAAAGGTGTTGCTTCTGGTCTGGATGGCTTGTATCTTACCAGGTTCGAATATCAACGTGCTGAGTATTGGCAGACCCTTTATTCCTCAGTTGTGAGTTTCAATATGCCCTGTATCATTCTTAAGTTGCCTTTGGATTCTGTTGCATCAGTTAATCTGACATCCTTCTCTCTTCTGTAGGAAATAGGTGCTCCATTCCTTATTTTATGCTCAGCTAAAGATGTCCTTGCACCATATTCTGTTATAAGCAATTTTGCTCAAATCTTGCAAGATAGTGGGGGAGATGTTGAGATTGTGAAGTGGAGTGGCTCTCCCCACGTGGGTGAGTTTCAAATCCATTGTGTTTGTTATTTCTGCCAGTAGGATATGGCTTCCATATGTTATTATTTGTCAGACAACTTCCATATACTAGAAGTATTTGCTCATCTAGGTTTTTTATTTCTTCAAATTCTGCTATTGATCAGTTTGACCATATGTTTTGTATTAAAAAAAAAAAAAAAGAAAGCAATTGACACCAACTTTCATCAGGTTAGTAATCCAAAAATTAAGTATGCATGTGTTACCAAGAATGATGTTGAAGATTGATGGTTTACTATTTCCTTTTTCTCATTTAACTTGTTCTGATACAGACCTAATGTTCTTTGATATTTCAGAACATTACAAGAATTATCCTATGCAGTACAGGGCTGCTGTGACCAACTTTCTGGAAAAAGCAACTTCAGTTTACTCCCATAGAGTCCAACAATTAAGAGAAAGATCAGGTCTGCGTGATGAGATATCTGAGTTAATCTGTGATCTCCAGAAAGTAGCTGTCAGTTCAAACCAAAGCCTAACAAGAGTTGCAGTTGGGCCTAGTGACCACTTCTTCCTGCCAAGTTCGTCTGAGTATCAGAACGGTAGAGAATCTGGATCTGTACAAGATGAACAGAGAGAACGATCAATGTATTTGCCTGAACCTCCAAGTATCAATGCACATGGTGTTCTTGGAAAAATCCTCTTTGATGTTTGTGTTCCCAAGAATGTTGAAGGTTGGGATATTAGATTTTTAGGTGCTCTAAAAGGGCAGCAATTCACTTCTGCTCGTAGGCATTCAGCTTTCCTTGGTATCAAGTGCAACAGGCGATCAAGATTATGACCTCTCTTACAGAAATTCTGTTACTGTGGACTGTCCAAAAGCTCCTGAGTTGTAAGAAATTATACAAGAAAAACAAGGTCATCAAGATGGCTCAAGAAGGCCGTCAGTGCAAGCAAGTATGGAGAGGTGAGGACTTTGTGGCATTTCCTGGGATTAAGAGTTACTTTTGCTTGCCTTTTTGATCAATGCACAAATGACGTGTATGGGTAGGATGACAGATATGATCGTATGTATATACTATGTCTATATGTTAAGAACTGCACTTCTATCTGGTGGGCTATGAAATTGCATGGGGAAACACTTGATAGTCTATCTCTAACCCACAAGCGGCATTAACGATTGCAAATATTCTATGTAGTCTTCAAAGGGTTGAGCAAGAAGCCCATAGGGAATGAGCGAATGGACGGCTGGAGTTTAAGAACCAGAAGATGTAAGTGACAAGATCTGGACAAACACATCTCCTTTTTGTATGAAACAATGATGAGAGCAAATTATCATATAATTTTATGTGCTATTTATCAAAAAAAAAAATATAATTTTATGTGCTTACGTTGTTTTCTATGTTCCTTTCCCATGCGTTGTGTTGCAAGAGGCATTGGAGGCGGCACCTGGGTGCAAAACAGTGGTTTGCCTTGGGCACGTCGGTGGCTAAGCATGTTTTTGGGCATATGTATGCACCTATGTAGTTGATTATGCATTATTATGCGCAATCAAGGGTACCTAGACAGAAGGCCCAAAGAAAAAATCACAAAAAAAAAAAAAAAAAAGCAGCAAATCAGGGTAAGTTCTTTTTTTTTTTTTTGGTGAATAATCGGATAACATTAGACTAGTCAGGAAAAATACAAATTAGTTCTGGGGAAATAGAATCCCCCTTACATCGGCTTCTAGGAACAAACCAAGTCCCTGAGGGCTGTTTTCAAAATATACAAAATCATTAACAGAACGGCCTAAAGCAGCTAGATAATTAGCACATTTATTGGCTTCCCTAAATGTATGGCACAGTTGCACGTGGGGGATTTGAAGCAGCAACTCCGTGCAATCCAAAATCATAGTGTGGAAAGGGTGATGTCTGGAATCTTGATGAACAAGTAAGTGAAAGACAAGTAGAGAATCAATCTCAACAATAAGTTTTTGAATTCACCGACCCCTAGCAATAGTAAGCCCATCATGAGCACCTTAGAATTCTGCCCCAAAATAGAAGTAATGCAAATATTTCTAATAAATCCAACAACCCATTTACCCAAGGACAGAATAAGATTAACATATGGGGTGGGGAATTGAAAAAATATTAGAGTTTGTCGAATAAAACTCCATTCCAACCGATCATAGGCTTTCTCAAGATCAATCTTGACAATCATGTCTCATTGCTTGCCTTTTTGCTTACCAAATGAATAAACCAATTCCTGCAGGATAATTACATTATCAGTGCCCTTTTGTCCAAGCACAAAGCTAGCCTAGCAAGGGGATATAATGCTATCCAGTAGGGGTTTAATTCTGTTATCAAGCATTTTGGAAATAATCTTATATGAGGTATTACACAACCCAATAGGCCAAAATTGTATAATAGTCTCAGGGTTCTCCGTCTTGGGTATTGAAGCTAAAAGATAGTCACTCCAACCAAGGGGGACAGTGCTAGTAGCAAAAGCATAAAATATGTCAAAACAAACTTTAGGCTTAATATGCTCCCAAAATTTCTGATAGAGAAAAGAATGAACCCTATCTGGTTTGAGAGCTTTGAATGGCTTAATACCATTAAGCGCTTCCCATACTTCCATCTTAGTAGGGGGAGTCTCAAGGGCTAACATTTCCAAGTTCAAAGATACCTCTTTTAACTATGCAAGCAGATAAGAGTTAGAAAAGGATTGAGAAGTAGATGTGGTAAATAATTGTTGGAAATAACTCTCATAGATGGATTCAATATCATGAGAATCCCAATTCCATTCCTCCACAGAGTTTTTGAGACCTAAAATTCTATTGTGGGAACGATGTTTAATAGTTGAGACATGGAAAAACCATGTATTTTGATCCCCTTCCAAAATCCAATTAGTCCTAGATTTCATAAACCAAAGATCCTCCTCCAGTTTAAAAATATCACCATATTCAACAACAAGTTCTTTTTCCAAGTGATAAAGGAAATTATTATGGCGAGAGGAAAGATATTTATGAATGCCATCTAACTAAGCCAGAATTCTCCTCTTACGCTTGAAAATATTGCCAAAGGTGAGTCTATTACAATTTTTTGCTATACCCACCATGTTGGAGATACATTGGCTAGTCGAAGACTCCCTTGATTGCCAAACATCTTGGACTAGATTTTGAAATTTCGGGTGGGCAATCCAAAACTTTTCCATACGGAAAGGTCTTTTTCCAACACTAGGTCGTGAAGGGTTAAGGTTAAGTAGGATTGGGTAATGGTCAGAATGGACACGGGGAAAATGAAAAACAATTGCTTCCAGAAATGAGGTTCTCCATTTTGGATTACCCCAGAATCTATCCAAACATTCTTGAATAATGCGGCCATCGGATTGCATATTAATCCAAGTGAATCGACCTTCAACAAATCCCAGATCCATCATATTACATGTATTCAGGCAAGAGGCATAAGATTGGATTTGGGTTTGATTAACAGGTAAACCTCCAAATTTTTCAGTTTGAAGTAACACATCATTGAAGTCACCTAAAATAATCCAAGGACCAGACACATACTCTGCTAAGTTAGTTAATTCTTGCCAAAGATGGGAGCAGACTTCAAATTGTGGTCTACCATAAACCCTAGAAAAAAACCACTCAACATTAAAAATAGTAGGGTGATTGTGTACCTTAACAATTGCATGAATAACTTGATTGCTAGTAAACATAACCTCCATAGATATTTGATTGCTGTCCTAGAGAAGCCACAAACCCCTAGCAAATCCCTCTGCATCAACAATATGATAACTTGAATAAAGCTTAGAAGCAATATCCATCGCTCTGTCTCTAGCTAGCTTCGTTTCCGAGATCAACATCATAACGAGAGAATGGGTATTCCTCAAATCTCTAAAATGGTGTATAAAGCTTTGATTAGCCGCACCATGGCAATTCCAAGCCATGATCTTCATTGAGCATAAATCAGTGTTGTGGAAACCCAATGTCTCCTTGGCTGCATTGTGATTGAGAATCTTTGCATTCTGACTCGGTTCCTCCACCACCATCTGTGCATTGGGAAAATGGTAGGGTATCATTATGACTTCATATTCCATCTCCATCTGGGTTTGAGCAAGTGAGAGAACTCGAGTGAACAAGATGATCGACTTCATTGAACCTAAGAGGTGCAAGCAACTGCAATAAGGGAGACTCAGGGGAAACACTAGTTTTTATGGTTTGATAAGGCCAATTATCCTTCCTATGGAGGTGTTTCTCGCATTGAAATTTAAGTCCCAAACAGATAGTAGATCCAACTTTGTTAGAGCTTCAAGTAGTGGGATCTGTACTCGGTGACTGAACTCTAGGGGGTTTAGGTCTTTTGGAAGAATCAGAGGGCTTCACCAAGATCGAACAATCTGGGACTCGTTCCATGGTCTTGGTAGTGGATTGAGGAAGTTTGGTTGCTGTAGAAGAAAGCAAGCATCCTTCACCAGAATGCATGTTCCATTGTTCACCAAGTATGCTTGGAGGTTGGGTTCCAAGGTTATCATCGGGTAAAGGTTTTCCATTTATTGAGGTATGCCGGAAGTTGATAGAGAGGAGCGCCTGAGATCTATCTTCAGAGGCAAGCCTATCAACACCATTACCAAGTGTGGGGTTCTTGGAGATTGTGCCAGATGATGATATCCCTAGTTGGGCTAATTCATGTTGTTCAGTATTTGATTAGATTGCAACCAGCAAATTTGATCTTTGGCCCACCTCAAGCCCTGAACATATTTGCTGGGAGGAACAATTGAGTGGGCGTTCGTGTAGAGTACTTGTTTCCTGAGGTTACACAGAGTTCCTTTTGGGTTCCCAGATCTGGGCCTTAGAATTGGCATTTCCTGGTCGGGAAACTTGCTTAATTTTTTATTTAGACCCTCCACTGTTTTGTGTCATTGTCAATGACCCATTAGACTTTTGACTCGTAATAAATGTTGTGGCAATGTTACTGTTATAACCCTTGTCTAGTATACCACGGGTCCTTGAACTCAGTTTACGGGTAGTTGCATTCCCACCACGGCTATCCTTGCTTTGTCAGTTTCTAGACACTTGTATTTCTGGTGGTTCCGTGGAGGGGGTAGCTTTTCATTGAGTTCGACGCCTTTCAACTAGTAATCATCGCCCATAATCTTCTTGCACTGACTTATCTTCTTCCAAGGAGGTAGTGACAATCTTTCCTTTGCCCTGAGTAGTATTTTCCATACCAAAAGGGTTCGTACATAGTTGATTCTTTGTAATCACAAGCCCATAACCATCAAAAGCATTTGAGGCATTCGTGCCAAATCCACTTCATTGAACAGTGTCATCATCAATACTCTAAGATAGTAAATGAAAGGAACATTGAGTATTTCTATGACCAATTTTGCCACAAGAAAAACAGAGAGCATTAATTCCCTCATACTGGACTTTTTGTCGATGTCTCCCAATTCGGACTTTTTTGACAACAGGCTTAAATAAGTCCACTTGCACACATATGTGTGCATATTGCCCCCTTTGTATGGTGCGTAGTATACGCATCCAGTCAAAGGAGAGTCCCAACTTGATTACCAATTTTTTGCAGAGTTTTCAAATCGTAATAGTCAGTCAAGAGATTTGGCAATTGGGCCCAAATGGTTGTAGTTGTGAATGAGTGGAGTGCTTCAAAGGGAACAAAATTAGGTGCCCATCTCCTCATTGTCAGGTAATGAGGACCCACAAACCATGGTCCGCCAAATATAACCTTGTGAAGATCAACATCATCTTGAAAGCGAACAAAAAAAAAAAATCAAGACTAAGATCAATAAAATCCCAATGGCTGGTAGGTTTCCACTAGGCTTTAACTATTGGATAGATATAATTGTAACCCAGTGGTTTGTGATAAAACGCCCTAATAATCAAAGCATTTATCCATGGAGCATGGATCCTTTGTTTCTCTACTTTAGATAGAAAGACCACAGGTGAATCATCGTCAAGGTCATCGTCAACATTTGACTCTTCATCCATATAGTCTAGTATCATGGAGAAAGTGAGTGCAATTGGATTTTCCAAAATCAAGAGTTTATCTTTGTAAGAGCTCGATTTATTTACGCCAGATTTGTTGTTCAATTCCCCCATAAGAGTGTCTGTAAGGACATCTTTGGAGGAGGCTAGCAACTGTTCCGACATGTGAACATCAGAACCCAATGTTTCAATGGCCATTGTAACTAGGCCTAGAACTGCGTTTTTGATCCTCTTGACACTACGGTCAAGCAAATCCAATTCTTGCAATGAGGAGGAAGTGTGAGTAGTTTCTCTCACTAACATATTTCTCTCTAGATTTTTAATGAGTGCTAAGTTTTACATTAGGGTAAGTTTGGTTTGTGGGGAGGGATACACTTCTTTTATTTAATTATTTTTTGGCCTTTAGATACTTCTTTTAATTGGTTACAAAAAATTTAGAGACAAAAAAAAAAGAGAAGAAAGTTCCTTTATTTTAATTGTTTCATTTTAATTTTTTCAAATATAACTAAATGCTTACTTTTTCGTTAATAAAATGTTGCATTGTGTTTATGTTTAAAGGGAAATGATTTTTGTACAACTTTCTTATCTTATCTTTTTGTACAACTTAACGTATTATTTAAATGATTAATTCTTTTAATTTAAGTGAGATCCGTGATATTAAATGTATTTATTTATTTAATAATATGTAAAAATTATATAAAAAATGATATAAAATGTTGTCCTTACAGCACTACCCATGTTTAAAATATTTGATTGATAAAGAAACTAAATATATATTTGTAATAAATTAATATGTATTTAAAATAATTTTTATATTTATTAATTAGGAATTAATT